GGAATTTTCTTGCTGTTGACTCTTCATAAAGAAACGTCTGTACATACCCGTGCGACGCTCCTGGCAAGTCTTTTCAACCATTCATTCTCGACAGTTCCCTACCCGATTTTTTAGAAGTTCAGTTTTTTTGAAACCAATATTTAAAACTGGGTCAAGGGAAGAAATCAAAAATTACAGTGCTGTTTGCACGCAGTCTGATGAGATTCTCAAGTTGATTGTCTCATTACCAGGAAACTCAGCTGGGACTGTAGGTACCTTTTAAATCCGGAACAGCATGGGTTTATGGTCGGTAGGTAGACATCAACAAATTTGGTTTTTATCAGAATTTTATTATAAACAGAATGGAGAGGGAATTCCAGGTTGATATACTCGAACTTCTCTAAAGCATTTGCCAGGGTTATTCATTGCCTGGTCATTAGGAAGCTTGGTTGTTTGGGAGTGAGAGGTTCAATTCCGAGTTGGTAAGCTGACTTTCTTGTTGGTAGAACTCAGGCAGTTAGGTATGACGGTATTATACGTGCCTCGTGTCTTTGATGTACCTTCTGGCGTTCCCCAGGAGTCTCACTGTGCCGCCTGTTGCCAAAGCAAAATTTGGACGGCGATTTTGATATGATTGGCAGCCAAGATGGCCTCAAAAACTCTGTTTTCCTATATCTACCTTGTTTAGTTGAAATATCGATTTAAACGTCTGCTTAGGGGTTTTCTCTGATGCTAAGCACATTGCAATGCTTGAAATTACCTTAAGTTTAAAGTATAGGGCTCTGAAATGGTCACCGATGAAAGAGAAGAAACGACCATTTCAGACTTTGAACATTGTTTATTCCAGGATTGTGAAGAAAATAAGAAAACAATCATTCTAGGATTTTTAGCTTACGGCAATATTACAAGAAAATTAAAAAATCAATCATTTGAAGAATTGAGGCATTCTTGAGTGCGGTGGCACGATTTGGTGCAAGTAAGTCTATTCTTGTTGCACATTGCACATTGTACTCAGGCACTGGGATGAACAATTGCAGTTTAGGATATACGTCTAACTTTAGAAACGGGCTCAATATTCATAAGGATAGGAATGTACTGATCTTGGTGAAGCCTCCACCCATATGACACAGGATCCATCACCACCGGTCGCGCATGATGAGCACTTTCCCACACGTTCACCTAAAACGTATTTTAAATTGTAATTTCCAGAAAGCAACAGGTATTACTTACAGTATGCTGCCAGTCGCCACCGAAAAGCTGATGTCTTGCTTCATACCCGCTGCGCTAGATACGTCTTTGCTCACCTGTTGAGATAAACTGAAAAACTTGTCGAGCTGTACCAGGAATTTCTCTAATGGTTTCGTCTTTGATGAGACAGTCAGTAGAGAGTGCCCTATATAAGTTGTTCAGAAGCTGGCTCTCTGTTCCATTGAAAAGTTTCCACGCTGCTTTCTTGGTTATCGTTGCAAGGTGACTGCGTGGAACGCTAAGATATTCTTTTCTTGAGTATTAAAAATAATTTTGCTAATCTCATGTAGGTACCTACTGGAAGATATTCTCTTCCGTTTGCTGTGCCACACATCATCCACACAAGAGCTGGTAATTTTGTCGTGGTGGATCAACAGCAAACAGATGTTGGTATCCCTGGCCATGACAACGATGTTATCAGCATCGGGACGGACAGCATATAGTACAACGCGTGTGTCGGTCTCTTCATGTGTAGCAAGTGCACTCAGGTCAGATTCGGGGTTGGTTGATCGCACATCCTCTTCATGTGTGAGCCCTACAGATACAACGACTTCAATGGCCTCAAAGACATGTTGAAGAAGTTGTTGAGAGAGAAAGATGGCGAAGTCGGCCTTGTTTTCTCGCAGTGGAGGAAAAATTTTCCATTCTTATGGCAGTGGGCTACACTTGTGATGTCCCTTCCAATTGCGGAGCAGCTCTCCTGGTGATTTGTCTGCAGCTTGACTTGGGACGATACCGGTCGAAAAGGATATCGACTCTGGCGTACGTTCTTTCAAGTTGAACTATCCTGTCGATAAAGATCGCAGCGAGGGTTCCAAAAGTAGTAGCGTTTGCTGGTTTCCCGATGCTGTTTACTAAAGTTTGATCGTCTATAATCAGTTACGAAGGGTTCCGAACAATATCAATGGAATTTGGGCATTCCACGCCTTCAGTAACGAGTTGATCTGAGTGTGCCATTCATTTCCGTCAACGATAGAAGTACCGGAAAAAGCTCCTGTTCCTGTTTCAAAATGAATTTGTCTGTCTGGTTCATAAGCTACAATCAGGTGACGTAGTATATCCCTTTCAGCCTCTACAGCCTTCTTCCGATCTTTAGTGTCATTGACTTCAAAGAGCTTTTAAACTCTAAAAACTATACATCTGACAGATATTGTACACCAAATACAAGACGTACGTATACAAAACAAGGTTTCGGCGACCATCTTGCGCGTCGTCTTTGAATCTATGCACTTCAGGCTTAAGGTGAGTAAATTTTGAGTATTGCAATATGATTAGCATCCCAGAGAATCCTTAAATCAATATTTCAAGATATATGGAAGTTTTGGAAGACATCTTGGATACCAGGCTTCCCGTCCAAATTTTACTTTAAATACCTTAAAAACGTTGTTTCCCCAATTGTTACATGAAATGATTCTTGCACATTATAGAGATGGATTTCCTACTTATGCGCTCCATCTAATATCCAATATGGGTAGTTCCATGGCACACAGCTCATTTTTGAAATTTGCAGATCATCTTAAACTTTATCGTCAAGTATCATCGTTGGAAGACTCTCAACTGTTGCAGGATGATATCTTTTTTTTTGATAAATGGTGTGGCTCGAACGGAATGGACCTCAGTATTGCCAAACGTTATAAGATAACTTTTTCCAGGTTAGCCCAAACGGTCAAATTCCCTTACACAATTAATAACACATCAATCAGGGAAGTAACAAGCATTCGTGATTTGAAAATGGAATTTGACTCCAAGATATCATTTAATCATTTAATGACCATATTACGAATACTGTGTCAAGGGCTGTTAGATGTTCCGGCTTTACATGTAGGTCCGCTAATGATATGTCTATGAGTATATTACGAATATTGTACTGTATGATAGTGCGATCCATGTTGGAATACTCATCAGCTGGTCACCCCAATATGCTGTTCACATTGGAGCTCTGGAAAGGGTTCAGAATATATTTCTAAAGGTGGTTGCTGAAATATGAATATCTTTACTAAGTAGGTTGGTACACCTAATATACACAAAAACATCAAAAAAAGAAAAAATGCCTACTAGACATACAAGTTACTATCTACAAAATACAAGTGAAAACCTTACGAAGATAGCAGCACATTACTCTGGTTGTGCTGCTATATTACTGCTTTGTCCTGCTTCAAACCGCAACCCAGCAACACCCATCGTTTTCGAAATATATCGACTTCCATTTTGGTTGCTAACTTCATCCTTGGCAACACATTGGAACCAGGATCGCTGAAACATGTTCCTGCTTGTGCTGCTATGGTTCTGCCTCATCCTGCTTCAAATCTGACCCCGGCAACATGTACCTACTATTTTCGAGATACAGCGATTTTTATTTTGGTTGCTAACTTCACCCTTGGCAACACACTGGAAGCAGGATCGCTCAAACATGTTCCTGCTTGTGTTGCTATGGTCCTGCCTCATCCTGTTTTAAATTAGACCCCGGCAACACGTACTATTTTTGAAATATAGGGATTTCCATTATGGTTGGTAACTTCACCTTTGGCTTGGCAACACATTGGAAGCAGAATCACCCCAAAAATGTTCCTGCCTCAAACTGCTTCAATCATCCCAGCAACATTTTATATTTCTGAAATACACACTGGTAGCATTACAAGAGTCTAGTCGTAGGAATACGGCAAGCTCGAGCCACCGTTGCCCAATGTATCGTAATGAGTGCTTGTCTCTGTATGTTGGTATTTTCGACGAAAAGATCTAATCCAAACTAACCTGTACTTTTGTAATGAATGCTACTCTTTCTATGTTGGTATTTTAGATAAGAAGAGCTAATCCAAGCTAATCCAAACTAACCCGTCCTCATACTAAGTGCTAGTTTTTCATGGATACATAGTATCACGAACGAGGAAGTACTCCAACACATGAATAAGCAAAAAGAACTGCTAATCACCATTAATTAGGAGAGGAAAATTCAATACTTGAATCACGTGATGAGAGGTGGAAGGTAAGAGCTACTCCGATTGATAATAGAGGCTGAATTACAAGGTAGAAGATTAGTTGGAATGGAAGACGTCAGAACTCATGGCTAAAGCATCTGAGAAGATGATCTGACCACTCATCTACAGAAATCTTGTTGAAGTTGTGGGTCCAGAATAGCCATCAAAAAGACGTATATTACTCATTATCGAATGAATTGCTATGATGATAAAAATGATGAGTGACTTGCTCTGGACTAGAATTACAAACAATGTGGCTCGACCCACAACTCTTTCATAGTATTAAACCGCCATCCGTTTTAGGAATTCCTTCACTTTAGCTATTCAAAAATTACCCATGATAGAACAACTTTCGCATACCTTATCCAAGTGACGCTAATTTTCGTCTATAAGTAAATAAGGTAAACTTTATTGACTTGGACGAAAATTAGCACCTCAGCATTAAAGAATTAGCAACCTTTTAAATTGAATTTAACAATTACTGGTACCACAAAAACTGATACATACATACAAAAATTTGCATTATGAAAAAACCAGTTACCTACAAATTGACCGCAAATAAATAAATTTAAAGGCGACGTAATGTTGGAAAACTTGAATTATGTCTCGCTTAATAATCAAAATAACACCTACCTGACATCTTTAAAATTGCATAAACATTCCATGTGGTTGATTTTCTTGAATTTAAAAACCTGTTATTAATTACTGTACAGAGCCGAACTCATTGATGCTACATGATCATGAAGTTTGATTAAGCAATGAGCACCTTGTGGCTTTCCAGTCCTAACCTGATTGAATTGTTTTTGAAAATATTATAGAAATTCAAAATGGTATTTAAAGACGTGTTGGATCATTGTTATGTGTTGGTTTAAGCAAACAGACATCATGAAACTTACATTATTTTTGTCCGTCTTTTTAGCGGTGGTCAGCATCGTCTTTTCCGGACAGGCTTTGGTGCCTAAAGAAGAAGGTAAGATTCGATTTCTATTTTTATCATCCATTAATTGAATGTTTTTTCATTAGGTAAACCAGGTCATTGTTACGATGAAGAAACAGGGCCAATGGAAAAAGGAGACGTAAAACAGATCTTAAACAAATGTACTCTAGCGACTTGCACTGATGATGGAACCATGGTGCTACACACGTGAGTACCATTCAATTCCATATTAAAAAAAACACGAGATTTTGGATTATTGACGTCTATCATTATTTTCCTCAGGTGCGGAGCTGCAGTAATAGATGGCAAGCGAGTGAAACCCGACTTTTCCAAATCCTATCCGGAATGTTGTAATGTCTGAACAAATAAATATTGATTGTATAAATATCTGAATATGCATTAAAAATCTTGAATCAATAAGAATTTTAGTTTTTTGGTTCCCATAATTATGCAGATAAATTTGAAATGAAATTTGGCTTTGTCTACATGAACATTTTTGGTAATAATTTCTTCATCAAATCAGGTAAGTACTTATATACTCGGATGAAAATTAACTTTTCTTTCTTTTCCATTGGGATGAATTCTCATCAATTTAGAACAGTTTGAATCCTTTATTAGTATATATTGAAGGTGGAAATGTAAAAGAGATATTGGTGCTTTAAGAAGAAATTGACATCCTCTGATAAGAAAATAGGAATCAATTCAAAAATAGAACTTTAGAAGATCTAATAATAGTATTTCACATAAATCATATAAAAGCCCATATAGTAGAAGAACCAAACTACAGAGTCCCATCTATACTAAAATATGTTAAATAAAAGATGTTGAATTAATTGATTGATATCTTGACAAGACAATCATATGCGGGAACGTGTCAACACAATAATGATGCTGTTTTTGACATTTATTCCAATCAGTCAAGTAACACAAGATTTATCGTCTTGTCGACTTCTAGCTGTTTCTATGCATTGAGAGAAAACATTCTAGAACAATTTTTAAGATAAGAATTTCCCAGAATTTTCTGATGAGCAGTTTTCGTATTAAAATTTAATTAATTTTCGTTTTTCCAATGTATGAGAAACATATTAAACATTGCAAAATTCTATTTGCAGTTAAAAATAAAACAATCTAACTTCTACACCTTATCGTTTCATATCCTCAATAAAAATTTACGATGTAAAAATAAATTAGGTCCTGCGTAATTTTAACACCTAAAAAGTATCGTGCAATATACTATAAATTTCATAACAATTTTGATTGTAAGGAAATAAACAAATTTTTCAATAGTTTAAAGACTTATTTCAAGACTTGGTTCAAGCAAACCGACATCATCATGAAACTCATATTATTTTTGTCCGTCTTTTTAGCGGTGCTCAGCATTGTCTTTTCCGAAGTCGGAGAGGCTGTGCTACGTGGAAGACGAGGTAAGATCACTGATCTAAAAAATAAATGGATAAACAATTCATACGGCTTGATTGGCAAAATTTGTGCGAAAATTTGGGGTCAATATTCTACGAACAGTTGTGCAACGGAACAGCCTTACGCCTGCGCAGTGTCTTATCTTTCGAACAACTGTTCTAAATTTTGAAATTCCTTCATTTTCATTGGCCAGATTTAGTGCACGCACAATACATGTATCTACTGCGCACGCTCACAGCTGTCCCAGTCAGTTGTTTTTGTTTAGATTTTGACCTCGTAAATTAGCAGCATTGGAAGCGTTCTTTGTTTATCCATTTATTTTTGAGATCAGTGGGAAGATTCGATTTCATTCCAGTCAATTTCCTTATAGGAATTATGAGTGGACAATATATTATATTTTCAGCTACAAATTAATTAAAATACCTATTCGTTTTCATTCAGGCCGTTGTTACCATAAGCAAACAGGTATCATGAGAAAAGGAGAGGTGAAACAAATAAGAAATAAATGTACTCAGGCGAGCTGCACTGCTAGAGGAACCATAGTGCTACTCTCGTAAGTAGAATTATACCATTTTCAGCCATAAATCCGACACGAGATTTTGGAATTGCCTTAATAAAGCACATTATTATTGTCCTCAGGTGCGGAAAAATGTATGGCAAACCAGCGAAACCCAACTATTCCAAACCCTATCCGGAATGTTGCAATCAACCCTGGCTAAATATACTAATTAAACATTATATGTAATTGTATAAATATCTGAATATGCATTAAAAATTCATTACCTGCAATTGGTTATCTGTGCAGCCTTGTCTTATTTGAAATCCATATGAAATTAAATTGATTGGAATGTTGAAAGAGACTATGTACCGATTTAAAAAAAAAATGGACACAATGTTACAAGAGACCGTATTTATCACATATGTCAAAAGATGAATGTGGAACCCTATCGAAAATCTTCAAAAAAAAAAAAAAAACAGTTTGAAGCAAATTTTTTCATATTTTCAACCGCTATAGGTGCTATAAGGTAGCGATTTACCCTACTGAACTTGTAATCCAGATTGAATTCCTTTAGTGTTGTGCTATTAGATATAGAAAAAAAACTGTAAGCAAAAAACTAATTTTCCTCCCATATCGATATAATCGATATGAACTTTAGACAAAAGTGTAATGCGGTCCTCAGAATCGTAAATTTAATAAGGAAAATACGGAAATGAAGCCACAACAAATCATCTTGTGTTCACTAACGAACAATTTGAAATACTTTTGGCTAAATTAACTGCCACACCGGCTCAAAATCAACTACTTTTGCAACCTGTCTTAAATGGCAATTTGTCAAATGCGTTTTGATGGTTCCAAGAACTCTGATGTTGAAGCCTTTTTAAACGGTCTTGAGATTTATAGAGAATGTACTTTCGTATCGGATAATCGGATGACAACGCGCTCAAGGCACTTCCTATGTTGTTGGATGGATTCGCTGCTAGTTGGTTTGTAGGCGTAAAATCCACTATTAATTCATGACAAGATGCGAATGTACTTTTAAGATCTACATTCGGACCGCAAAAACCGCCATATTGCGTATATAGGGAAGTTTTCGGAACTGAGCAAGACTCTAAAACCAAGACATATATGTTTATTTGCAAGTGTCGTTCTATACTTGTGCCAGATAATACTCTACCTGAAAACATTCAACTAGACATGGTTTATGGTCTGTTAAATTCGAAAATTAGAGAAAAAGTGTCGCGTGAAAGGTGAACTGTTTCAACGAACTTATAATGACGTTTTGAATCCGCCAATGACTTCAATAATATTTACTGGACGGGATTCTAGAATCACGATTCGACACACGACTCGAAAACGAGACGATTTTTTCCGACGATCCTAGTGTTAACGCAATAGTATTTGAAATTTAGTAAACTGGACTGCGACTGGATAATCGCGCAAACAAATAGAAATAGAAATGAAATTGATACCATAGGGTTGTCGAAACACACAAAAGTTATTACTACTCATCTGGGTTTTCTTATAAGCTGTGCGTATATACGGGGATCCCCTGGAAAACGGTTCTGCACAACCACAAACGTATCTCCATCGACTTAAGGCACTCAAGGTCCCTTTTTAACGGCACAAGACATAGACTTTTTGAGCGTAAAACACGGAACAGGAAGAAATTGTTAACGTGCATATCACGCACCATTCATCTAGTGTGTAAATCCAAATCTTCAACAGCTGCCTCGGTCGGCGCAGGATCGTAGAAAATACACTCCTGTGTGTTTTACGCGAAATTGACATTTAAGTAATTCTTTAATAAGAATGAGAAGAAACCAAATTTTGTAAATAATGTTGCGTTAACACTTAGATTGGAAACATTCCTTTTGAGACGACAGGGTCGGTATCGAGCTGCGTCTCGTTGTCGAGTGGTGTGTCGAATCGTGATTCTAGAATCTCCCTGTTGTACCTTTTTGCCAGCAAAACAGTACGCTGTTGAAATCGGAACGACAAATTACATTATAATCACCACAGTGAAATCCAGTACTGGCAGTTGATAACGGAACATAGCCTTAGTCAAGCACGGTTGGTGGAAAAACATTTGAACATTCGAACGATATCAAACAAGTTTTGGGGGGTGATAACGTTCCAAATAAAAAACTCCGTTGTACCTATTGTAAATATACTGGTCATACTAAAGAGGATTTTCGAAAATTGGCATTGAAACAAGGTAATTATACAAATCGAAAAACATAAGTAACAGGAAATAAAGACGAGTCAACCTTAAATCCACGTTCGGTCCTGTTAGCAAAACTGAGCGCGGGACAGATGTGAAGTAGGAAGTAAAAGATTTGTAAAGATAGATGTATAAACTTAGAACGTTTTTACAATGAAATAGTATATTACATGCGGAGGTGGAAAGTGTTTCATTATTGTCGAGAGATACTATGGTTGACCGAGGTGCGAAGCGCCTATGTCAACCAATTCTCGAGACAATAACGTGAAAACTTTCCACCGAATTATGTATACTATTTTATTTTGAACCATTAATTATTTTAAAAAAATAAGGTGAAAATATTACAAAAAAAGAATTTCGACTGATAGCAGAGATAAATACACTGACAGTCTGACACCGACATTGACAACTTATGAAATTTCAACAATATAAACACGTGTGACATCTACTTCTAATTACAAACATTGCACCTCGATTTGTGTTTAGGTGTGAAAGAACAATTTATCAGGGCCGAAAGCTTAGAGCAGGTAAAGGTAAAGAGGAGTAGTAACATGGAGTTGGAAAATAAAGCCGTAAGGCCGAAAGTGAGTTCTCCAGGACGAAAGTGACAGGAGAACAGTCACTTTCAGTCTGCTTCAAAGTGAACAAAAGTAAAGTGACATTTTCGAACCTCCAAACCAGTAAGGAATGCATTAATTATATAATGGTTCAAAATAAAATATTATATTATTCTGACAAGTACAACTACAAAAACTTCAATGTCATAACAGGGAAACTTCTTAGCTGATGTATATTAGTGGAAACTTCTTTCTTCAACACTCCCTCTTAATACAACAGTCTTCTGAAGCTCACATCATTTTGATAATTCCATAGCTTCAACACAAAACTCAAACTTCTATCTAGATAATGACCCTTTTGGGGATATACAGAGTGTCCCACGACGTTTCTCCCAAGTAATAACTTCGGAACGCGTCATCTAATATAATTGAAAATTTGAGGATCTGGGTATCTTTTTGTGCCGCTTCTACCATCGTCATCCAATTTTACCAGTTTCGCTTCAATTTCAGTCAAGTGACGTCAACTTTCGAATCTTAAATGTATCTCATGGTATTTTTCGTTAGAAAATTAAATCACAAAATCGGCAATGCAATATTTGTTAAGGCTTTGTTAAAGAAAATGATAAAAAATTATACAGTGGAACATACGATGATGCGTTCCGAAGTTATCATTTCGGAAAAACCTCGTGGGACACCCTGTACATCAAACTGCTGCTGTGGAAGTTATCCTATTGAAGCTGTTTAGTGATTGTTGCGGATTTTCACTCTTCGTATTGGAGGATTCTTGCTTGGCACGTGCACGAACACCACTTCGAGGCTCTTAACATCGGGCCCCACGTTGGGCGCCAAATTGTAATCTAAGAATAATTTCGCTTGAAATCTGGTGTGACAAGTTTTACGATCGATCTATGGGTGGATCCCTCACTGATTCGAATATACCTACTATTGCCACCTGTTTTGTTTGCTGATGGTGTCACTGAGGTGGTGGCTGAGACCAATAGGTACTGAGTCTTCCACTGTCGAGACTTCTGAATCACTGAGGTTGGATTTATCTCGTATGAATAGGAACAGAGATAAAGTTTTTGAAAGTATAGAAAAGGGCTTGACACTGGAAGAGGCAGAGTGTTGTAAATCTGTGCAAGATTCGGATTCTGGTGTGGAAAGTTTGAAGTCGGCGGAAGCTTTGGTTTCAGGTTCTTCTGATACGATTGAGGTGTGAAAGAGAGTAAGACGGGCGGTTGTGAGTTGGTGTCGAAGATCGTAAGTGTAAGAAAGAAATTGGAAGCAATTTAGTACAAATGTCGTCTTGTTTGTTGGGAGATATGCTAACTGAACTTCACCATTTTCAACCTATTCTCTCATGAAGTAAAACCTCACATCAATGTGCATTGTTCTTTTGTTCAGAACAGGATTACTTGCAATTTTTTGAGCACTTTAATTGTCATTGTAAACTCACAGGTTTTTAAAAATTTACAAGATGTGATAACAATCCTTTTAAATGTATTGCTTCTTTTGCGGAATCACTGATTGCCATATATTCAGCTTCACACGAAGACATGGCGACTGTAGTCTGCTTGCGACATTCCCAAGAAACAACAGCATCAGCATATTTGAAACAAGTAGTATCATTTTCGATTTGTCGCATTACTAGCCCATTTTGCATCGGTGTATCCAGGCAATTCTTCTTCAGATTTCCGATAAACTAATGCTCTGTCAGCTGTTCCTTTGAGATATCTTAATACGCGCTTCGCAGCTTGCCATTGTTCTTGACCATACTTAGTATTGAACTGGCTCAAATAGGAGCATGCATAAGCAATGTCAGGTCTAGAAGTGACATTCAAATACATTAGACATCCAATTAGTTGCTCATATGGCACATTCAGGCTCTTTTCGCTCACTAATGGCCATTTTATATTTGAATCCATTGGTGTACTGATTAGTTTATAATCCAACATTCCAAACCTCCTTAGTACATCCATGACATACTTTCTCTGATTGATGAAAATACTACCATTTCGATTTTTCTGCACTTTCATGCCCAAACAGTTATGTATAACTCCAAGATCCTTGATTTTGAAGTGACGTGATAATTTGCCTCTTTGATTTCTCAAGTTCATTTTCATCATTGTGAAAAATAAAAAAGTCGTCCACGTACAGTGCAATGATAACTATAGAGTTCTTTTTCTTCATAGTGTAGATGCAACTTTCGTGTGCTAACTGCTTGCAATTAAATTCTTTTGAAACCTTGTCAACTTTCTTATCCCAGGATCTTGAAGCTTGTTTTATTTCGTATAATGCTTTTCGAAGAAGACACACTTTATTATCCTTCCCCTCAACCTTCTGATTGATACATGTAGATTTTCTCATCTAGTTCTCCATTAAGAAAAGCAGTGATAACATCCATATGTTCCATTTCAAGGTTAAATTGAACAGCCAATGCAAAAAGCAAACGTATTGATGAATATCTAATCACTACTGATAAGGTACCTATCCAAGTAATCTATGCCATACTCTTGTGTGAACCCCTTGGCTACTAGTCTGGCTTTGTAACATAGGTACATTGTTTCCATCGGTATCTTGTTTTACTTTGTCCACCCATTTACATTTGACAATATTACCTTCTTTAGGCTTTTTAACTAGAATCCAAGTGCCAGATTCATGAAGTGAATCAATTTCATCTTGCATTGCAACTCTCAACTCTGAAGAAAAATCTCTAGAAATTTCTTCATTGAATGTTTTTGGCTCAGAAAAATTGAACAAAGTTTGATATACCAGATGAACCGGGAATTATTTCTGTTTTCTATCTCGAATTGGATATCTGCATTCTGATTCTTGATCTAGTTGTTTTTCTTGAACTGGAAGATTTTGTTGTGGAGATGTGACCTTAGAAAGAACTCGATAACAGTCAAGTCTGCTAATAGTCTCAGGCGAACACACAAAGAGCCATAGAAAGTATGAGGATGAAAAAAAGTCTCAGGGATCCCGTCACAAACAAGCACCTACGTTGGACAATGTGACAACCTCAATAGCAAAAATACATACCGGACCTGACTTCCCAATCTCTCTCAAGGAGGTGGAACAGACCCCAAGGACATAAAAGCGGTGACAGAAATGATGAAATCACGACATAAGAGAAAAACAGAGGACCTTAGAAAGAACGTCGTCATTTGGTATTTGTGCTTGAAAATCGTCATCAGTCTCACTTGCTTGTTGTTCATCATTCGCATTATCGCGTCCAATCTCAATTTCTTCATTTTCGTTTTGAGAATCGAAAAGTGACAAAATTGACGCAAATACTTTTGTAAAAGGTTTTTCGTTTTCGGCGATCTGATTGGTTAAAAATTCACCTTCTAAAAATACATCTCTAGGTCTGCATATCTCATTTGTTTTTGGATTGAAAAGTCTACATTCCATTCAGGATACCCAACAAACCATTTTCTGGCTTCTGGGATCCAACTCAACTGGTATATGAACATACGCTATTGATCCAAAAACTCTTAAATGGCTGAGATTTACTTTTCGACCACTCCACTTCTCTTCTGGTGTCATCTCCTTGATCAATTTTGTTGGTGATCGATTGATCAAATATACCGAAGTATTGGCAGATTCAGCCCAAAAACGATATCACAAGACGATTTTTACATCATAGATCTCGTCTTATCCAAAATGGTTCGATTCATACGTTCTACAACTCCATTTTCTTGTGGAGTGTAGGGTACTGTTAGCTGGAATTTTATGCCATTTTACTTTAGAAAATTCTTCAAAATATTGTTTGAGAATTCTTTACCATTGTCACTTCGGAATTTTTTTATCTTCAAATTACATTCATTTTCTACTTGCTGTTTGAATTCCTTGAAAACTTCTGTAACTTCACTCTTTTGTCTGAGAAAATAGACAAAACTTTTCGCGTTAAGTCATCTATATCAGACAAAAAATATGCCGACTTCCTCCCCAAGAATTTATTGGCATGGGTCAACACAGATACCTGTGTATGAGCTCCAACTTTTCGTGAGTGGAAACCTCTGTTGCATTTTGAACGGTTTCCTGCTATGTTTTCCTTGAATACAGGACTCACAAGGATCGTCAAGATTTTTGTTAGAAAAACCCAATCCTAAAGCCATTTTGTCACAAAGAAGTTTCATACTGATATACGGTTTAAATGTCCACAGATGCCAGTGGATATGCATCAGGAGCCGTAATTTTACAAGGTGAGGGCATGGATGAACACCCGATTGAGTATGCCAGTAGAATACTCACTGCATGCGAGAAGAACTGTCCGAGCGCGAAGCACTTGCTGTTGTGTGGGCGCTTGACAAGTTCAGAGGATACATCGAGGGAATACCCATAACTGTGCAAATCGACCATCAGCCTTTGAGATGGTAGCTCAGCCTTAAATCGCCAACTGGTAGATTAGCCAGTTGGGCTTTACAAGTTCAAAGTTACGACCTGAGGATAGAATATTTACTTGGTAAAAGGAATATAGTAGCAGATAATATGTTATCCAGGACTCCATGCAATCACGAAACCAAGGAGTTCTGTGATATTTGCACCGTAACGATAGAAATGCCGAGACGATCAGCATAAGAAATTAGCAATTGAAGGACCCTGATTTGAAAAAAAATTATTAGAGGTTTCAAAGACAGGTCAAGTCATGAATTTTCCAAATGGACAGATCGAGGGTATATGATGGTCTATACAGATATTCCTGTGAAGACGCGGACACTGAGGACGCCCAACTTGTTGTCCCAACGCATAAACGACAAAAAGTTTTGAAGAATCATCACGACGAACCAACAGCGGCTCATTACGGCGCTGAAATAACTTTACACTGGATAGCAAAGCGTTATTATTTCACTGAAATGCGAGGTTTTGTGACGGAATATGTGAAGAATTGTATGGAGTGTCAACGCTATTATAAGGCCTCAATTCAAAAGCCAGCAGGTTTGGTACAAACGCCAACCTATGCTGCTCAGAGATCTGAAACACTGTACATCGATTTATTTGGACCTCTTCCAGAAGATGCTAGTGCCAACAAATGGATTTTCATAGTAGAAAATAGCTCTACTAAATGGGTGGAGCTTTTCGCTATAGAAAAAGTAACGGCAAAGGAATGTGCTCTCAATTCTCAGTTTACAATTTTGAGTAAAGCTTTGTACAATTTGGTAGTAAGCGAATTCAGGGGTTTTTATACGCTTATAACATTGGACGTTTTGATAAATTGGAATGTTTTGACGAGAAAAGTAGTTATGGTTAAAAAGATTGTAACCTAATGTAGTAAGGCTCTATAAAAGAGTTATTTAAGGCTTTTGATTATAAAGTTCTATTACAAGTAGTATAGAGGTGGCTGTAAAGTTAGCATCATTTCAGAATTATTTACGAATTGTTTTTTTTTTTGTATTTGAAGGAAGGTCATGGTTAGGGTATAGAATTGTACCATTGTAATTTGGGAAAGCTCTGTTTATTTTCTCGAATAAAGTATATTTATCAATGGAAAACCGTACTACAGTTGTTTCTCTCACATCCAAATAGACCCGCCCCCACAACTTCATTTTACAGTAGCTGCCCAAGGAAATAATTATCATCAAATACGACCGCTTGCAAAAATCAACGGGAGAAAAAATTCTATAGAACAATTTCCTTCTTTTACTCTGCCTCTCCAGCAAAAAAAACTTAGAGAACTTCTTTTTATTCGCAATTTTTTTAAAGATAAAGTGCGAAGTTGAAAAAAGCAAAAACTTGGTATAGATAAAAATTTCCCAGCTGATGAGGTGTTTTTGTATTAAAATTTAATTCATTTTCGTTGAACAATTTATTAGAAACATTAAACATTGCAAAATTAAATTTGCAATTTAAAAAAATACAATCTAACTTTTACACCTTATCGTTTTATATCCTTAATAAAAATTTACGATGTAAAAATCAATTACTGTGTGATTTTAACACCTAAAAAGTATCGTGCAATATACTATAAATTGCATAACAATTCAAAGACTTATTGGATCATTGTTAAAGTGTAGGTTCAAGCAAACAGACATCATGAAACTTACATTATTTTTGGCCGTCTTTTTAGCGGTGTTCAGCATTGTCTTTTCTGAAGCCGAAGAGGCTGTGCTACGTGGAAGAGGTAAGATTCGATTTCATTTCGGTCAATTTCCTTATGGAATGAATATTTTCAGCTACAAATTAAATAAAATACCTATTTTTTATTTATTTTTTATTCAGGCCATTGTTACCATAAGAAAACAGGTCCCATGAGAAAAGGAGAAGTGAAACAAATAAGGAATAAATGTATTAAGGCTAGTTGCAATGCTAGAGGAACCGTAAGGCTACTCATGTAAGTAGAATTAGGTATAGCATTTTTAGCCATAATTTCGACACTAAGCAAACAAAAAAGCACATTATTATTGTCCTCAGGTGCGGAACAGTGAATGGCAAGCGAGTGAAACCAGACTATTCTAAACCCTATCCGGAATGTTGCAATCTACCCTGGCTAAGTGAGGAAGATGAAGATTAGGTACCTATATGTAATTGTATAAATATCTGAGGCATTAAAAATTCTCTACCTGAAACCTGGTTATTTCTGCAGCATCGTCTTATTTGAAATCCATAATTATGAAATTAAAATTGGTGCTATGGTAAATTAATAAAATTGACTGTCAATTCGATACAGAGAAATTCGAAATGAAATACATGGTTTTAGCTACCTACTTGAAACTTATATTTTTGGTAATAATTTCTCCATCAAACCACCATGATGTTGGTGGTTAGGTAGAAGTAAGTGGGATAAGCTTGGATGAAAATAAGTCCAATGTGGAGAAATAATATTTTTATTAATATAGTGCCAAACTTTTATGAACTTGGAAATACTGATAAAAGCAATTTTGCAGCAAAGTTTCCATTAGTATTTTCAAGTTCTACTAAGAAACCCATAAAAGTGTTTGAGGTTAAATTGAAACTCAAAGAAAATACTAGTCCAATTTTCCAGAAACCTTACAATGTTCCATTTTCTTTACAAAATAAATAAAAACCTAAGCTTGATGTGATGGTTGATGAGGGTATTTTGGTTCTGGTAAGTACCAGTGATTGGGCGAGTCCTATTGTAATTGTACCAAAAAAAAAAATGGGGATATCAGGGTATGTGTGGATTTTGAAGTTACTCCAAACAAAGTGTTGCGTCAGGATATATATATATAAATGGAAGATATTTTCTGGGGTATCAGTCTGGGTCTAAATAAAAGTCTTAAAACTTTTTAGCTACGCCGAGCTTTCGAAAATTTTTATTTTCTTCTTCAGGGCTATATAAAAAGAAAAATATTTATACAAATAAATATTAAAAGGAAGGCTTACTTACTGCTATGTGTTTTAAATTGAAAAAATATCATTTACAAGAAAATTTGGCATACTTTTTAAATAAATTGTTACAATCTGACTTTTTTAGTATTACTTTCAGGTATGAGTATGATCTGAAATTTACAAATAACAATGGTTCAAGAAATGGTGGAAATGTTTTTTTAAGAAAATTTCAACATTATTCCAAAGAAAAGTTGGTTTATGTTTTGATAAATTTATAAAAGTGATATATTTTGACTATAAGTGAAGTTATTATTTATAGGTTTCATTGTTAGGATATTTGAATAGATAATGCTTAAATCATCTATGTCTGATCTTTTATTCATAGAATTGTTATTTAAAAAGATTTCAACCATCTCCAAAAACAATCTTTTATTATAATTTTGTTCCCTATGTAATATTTTGGTTTCATTATAATTAAAACTATGATCTAATTCATTGAAATGTGTAGATAATATAGAAGTATTTTTTCCTAATCTACAATCACTTTTGTGAGAAGTGATTCTATCTTTTAAAACTCTGGATGTTTGACCTATATAACAATTTTCACATTGGTTACAAGGAATACTATATACAACATTCGAAGATTTTAGATTTTCCTCTTTGTCTTTAATTTTTGTAAATAATTTTCCGATTGTTTTAGTTTGTTTATTTGCGATTTTTATTGATGGTGTATTTTTAAATAACTTTGTGATTTTATTAGAAATTTCTTTTATAAAAGGAATAGAAAAATAATAAGTTTGTAAATTAGTAGGTAAAGGAGTTCTATCTTCGGTGTTATTATTATTTTCTGTATCTGTATGTTCCAAAGGATTAATAGAAATTGTGTTAAAAATCAATTTTTTCAAGAATTTGGGTTTTCAAATATCCTAACAATGAAACCTATAAATAATAATAACTTCACTTATAGTCAAAATATATCACTTTTATAAATTTATCAAAACATAAACCAACTTTTCTTTGGAATAATGTTGAAATTTTCTTAAAAAAACATTTCCACCATTTCTTGAACCATTGTTATTTGTAAATTTCAGATCATACTCATACCTGAAAGTAATACTAAAAAAGTCAGATTGTAACAATTTATTTAAAAAGTATGCCAAATTTTCTTGTAAATGATATTTTTTCAATTTAAAACACATAGCAGTAAGTAAGCCTTCCTTTTAATATTTATTTGTATAAATATTTTTCTTTTTATATAGCCCTGAAGAAGAAAATAAAAATTTTCGAAAGCTCGGCGTAGCTAAAAAGTTTTAAGACTTTTATTTAGACCCAGACTGATACCCCAGAAAATATCTTCCATTTATAAGTTGCCAGTCACGAATACCTACACTATTTATATATATATATATATATATATATATATATATATTTAAATAAAAATGATTTTTTAGCAAAATTGAATGAGGGTTCTATATATTTTGTATCCTCGATTTGTTGGGTGCCTTAACAGTTGTCTGTGGATACCTCTTCTCAGAAACTTTCAACCATTAACCACGAATTTTGGATTGTATAGATATACTCGGCTAACTTATGGGATTACCCTTAGGGATTACCAGTGCCCCAGCAATTTTTCAAATGACTATCGATAAAATTTTAAGTGATTTGAATGGTGTTATTTGTTACTTGGATGACACTTTGATCATGGGTAAAAATTTTGCTGACTGTTACAAACATATCAAAATGTAGATTTCTTTCTGATTCTGTAGAGTATTTGGGGCATAGGATTGATGCCGAAGGCATACATCCAACACCTGAAAAAGTTGAAGCAGGCAAATGAAATCAAATCAAAGAATGTAGATGTATGTATGAATGAAGAAAGATGAAAAGCAAGGGATGTGTATCGATTATCGCGCCTTAAATGCGGAGACTATCAAAGACAGGTTTCCATTAGCACGAGTTAATGATTTCTTGAAGAAAATCATAGACTGTTCGGTTTTCACGCGTTTGGATTTAGCTAGTGAATACCACCAGACAGAGATGGACCCCGATTCTATTCAAAAAACTGCCTTTGTGACGCCTGGCGACGGTCATTTCGAGTACCTTCGAAAGCCATTCGGCTTTGCAAATGCTCCAGCTTTATTCCAGAAAACTATAAATAAAGTATTGGGGAACATGCGGTATGGGAAAGCATTGGCATACATGGACGACATTCTTTTTCCTGTAAATAGCCTTGAAGTCGGGTATCAATAACCTCAGGGACGTTCAGAAAGCATTGTCTGATGCAGGTATTATGTTGAAATTATGAAAATGCCACTTTTTTATGCCCAAGATCGAATATTTGGGTCACGAAATTAGCAAGGATGGTATTAAGCTGAGACAAACCACAAAAGACCAACAATAACGGTACCACTCTTATGAGCTCGAAACCCTTGCAGTCGTATGTATTTTGAGCTTCCACGAGAACGTGGATTGTGTAGCATGGCCGACTGTTATCAAACTGACAAAGCCGGCTGATCGTAGAAAAAAAAAGGGGTGACGTGTCGGCGTGCCATAACCAACGATGTGCATGCGTGTCGGAAGGGAGGGAGAATCACTTTCAGTGCAGCCAGCGTCAGGAAGTGCGTGGTGCTACCCGAATTTGTTCTTGGTGTTACGCATTTTTGTAAAATAAAAATTGTTCATATTTATTTATTAAATTGTTTGATTTCGGTTAATATAAGATAAAAATTCAACTACATATATTATATATCTAAGGACCGTTTTACTATTATATCAAATTTTATTAAAATGGCCGTAGCCCCGTTAGCCCCCGCCATTAGAAATCCCAGAAATACCGTAAAAAGGCCCAATAATTTTACGCCTGCTGCTTCACTTCCTTCAGAAAAAAATCCTAGATGCGCCAGCGGTCGTTACAACAATGAGGATACTTTTTAGACGTGAAGAATGTTCTTTGACCTGTTTCGTCTCCCGATAGGCACCTGAAAAACATTTTAATTTACTCTTAATTTGGTCATACTTGGTAAACTCCACTTACGTATATAAATATAAGAAGGATTTATCCAGTCTGCATTCGGCCTGCATACATTTATCTAATATATATTTTTTTTGCCCGTTAGTCATTACACCAGTAACATTAGAGTAGCAATATCCTAAAAATATTGAAGAAAATAAAAAAGAAAAATTCGATACAGCTAAGTGTGTTTGGAAATCAATCAATAAAATTGTAATGACCCGGAAAAATAGACCCTTAAATAACAATGACTTTACAGTAAAAATTAAATGTAATCAAATAATCACAAACTGAATTTCCCGTATTTCAAATCAGTGTCAATAAATTGAAAATGAAACAAATTAACGTTGACCCCAAATTAATTAAAACATTTATATACGTTCAAAATTATATTATTTCATCACCAAGTCTGTGTCATCATCTAAATCAAATTCTTAAAAATATTAAAAGCGAGGCCAAACTAATTAAATCGGTGATTTATGGCGCACGTGTTTCGGCTTTCTTTGTGCTATATGTCCAATTCCCACCCCCTTAACTTTTTTGTGCCACCGCGTATAAAAAAAATGTAAATAGAAGCGTTGTAGTGCTTCAAAAATAGTTCTCAGAAAACATAGTTTTGTTCATACAGGGTGTTGCAAAAAGTTTAAAAACCAAAAAAAAATATTTTTTAAAATGGGACATCCTGAAAATTCTAGACATATTTCATGTATAATATCATATAACTATCTTGAACTTTTTCGGAAATAATGACAGTAGAAAATTGACTTTTTGGCAACTTTGATAGGCTGTAAAACCTAAACTGTTAATTTTACAGCAACACCGATTTTACATTCTTGTCTACAGCAGTGTTCCCAACCTCTCAGATTATTAATTCCCTCGATGGATCCCAAAAATTTCCTATTTTATTTATTTTAGAGTTAAAATTCCCTTCAATGTGGCCAACGAGTACATCTAAGTAAATGCCAAATGACTTTACCTATATCAAAACCAGAAATATGTACAGTCGTGAGCACATAAAGTGGGACACCCGTTTTTTCCTATTGGAAAACAGGCTCACCAACTATATGCGGCAATGACAGGGATTGTCATATTTGACAAAAAATCGATTGTAGAGAAAAGACCGATTTACGCAAAATGGAGAAAAATGACAAGACCTGTCAGTCGGGTGTCCCACTTTTTGTGCTCATGTATGTTTGATGTAAACATTTTATCCTTTTGTATTTTTCTCTTTTTTTGGCTGGTTTGTTAGATTGCTACCACTATTCTCACTCTCACACGAAGAACTCATTTTTGAAGTTTGATTGGATGATTAAACGGATTACAAACAAATTGCAAAAATAAAGCATGTTAGTGCTCATGCTGCATAAATACAACCGGGAACCCCTGAAACCGAACCTTGTTGCATTCGGCTATGTCACTACGCGCGCTTTGAGTATCTCCGTACCCACTCCAAATCCGTGCTGAACACATTCTTCTATCTTCATCGATGTCAAACTTCTATTTCTCAAAAATTCCCTCATTTCGACGATTTTATATTAAAAAAAAATCCCTGGGTGCCATAATTCCCTAGAAAGGGAAAATTCCCTGCAGTTGGGAACACTGGTCTACAGCTTTTCATAAGCTAGCATTGGACACCAATTTTGAAGTTAACCAGAGATTAAATTTAATTGGAATTTTCAATCATGGATTAAATTCAAAGTTAGTGTCAAAAGATATTTTATATAAAAATAGGAAAAGCATGTGTGATCGGGTTTGCTGTAAAATCAACCGTTTAGGTTTTACAGTCTGTCAAAGATGCGAAAAAGTCAATTTTCTACTGTCATTATTTCCAAAACATTTAAAGATAGGTATATGACATTATACATGAAATATGTCTAGAATTTTCCGCAGAATTCAGAAATGTCATAATATACAAGGTCTCCCATTTAAAAAAATATATATTTTTTTTTTGTTTTTTAAACTTTTTGCAACACCCTGTATGAACAAAACTATGTTTTCTGAGAACTATTTTTTAAGCACTACAACTTTCCTATTTATATTTTTTTTATACACGGTGGCACAAAAAAGTTAAGGGGGGTGGGAAAATATAAAAAACGACCCTGTACATACTCTAGTGACAAGTTTTATTTTGACTATAAATGATAAACATGACTGTGTGATTAAACTTTGAACTTTAATGCATAAAAACTTGAGTGATTTGACTGTAAAAACTTTATTGCATAACTTTAATTGCCTTCGAGTATAATGACATTTTAATTTAATTTTGCAAAGAATTAACAAAGGTAAATTATAATGCTTTCAACAATATACGATTTTGTGTAGGAATTATTAATTAAATATTTGTGCTTATTGGCTAGGAATCCGAAAATAGTAATTGTTCTGATTAAATAAACCATTAAATGAAATGGGAAGTTTCGAAAGGAAACTTGTTCATGAAATAAGATTGTTGGCTTCAATCATTAGAAGTAATGGAAAGGTTAGTTTAAAAACTGTTGTTCTTCATGAAATAAAATTGCTGACGTTAATCATTAGAACTATTGGAAAGTTTTATTTGAAAATTGTTGTTCATGAAGAAACATTGATAACCTTAAGTGCTGAAATTTTGAATTAGGGTTTTTATTTTTCATGTATTGTAAGGTTTTCATAAGGATATAGTTAGTAATACCTATATACTTAATCCAGTCGGATTATGACTTAAATAATTATTTTGCATAAGCAGTCAATAAAGGACTTGGGAATTTTTAAGAATTTATAGATATAGGTGAAGGGTAGTTTAATTAGGAATGTGAATCGGAAGTGTTGTAATGTATAAACTTATAAGTTATTAAGAATAGTAGAAGTAGGGCGTTTTTTTTTTTTTTCTTGTATGGTTATTTCCTGATCCCTAATAATGACATTTGAATGGATGTGAAAAAATTTGAGTTGGGAAAAATAGAAGTGGCTGTCAGAATAGAGAGATATTTACTTATTTAAATTTTTCGTTTTAAGTATAATAAAATATAATTTAGTAAAACTCAATAGTTTATTTCTCTCTTTTGCGAATAGACCCCCTCCGCAATTTTATAGGTAGCAGCTCAAGGAAATAAACACCATCAATATACCGCTCGCCATTCACCAGCTTACTAATTACATAGAGTACTTGGGGCGTTATGCTACCAAATTAGAAGTTTCCTTACCTACTTGATGTCGAAAAATCTTTACATAACCTGAAAAAAAATCAAATCAAATCAAATATAGAATCTAATCTAATTAGTTGTTTTTGTATAGTCTTCTTTACCTCTGATAGGCAGGACCATTGCGAAAAGAGCCAAACAAATAGTAATAATTTGAAGTTTCATTATTTTCAATTTTTGTAAGCTATATCTACTATTTTCGTCGACCAATGCGTAACAAACATTGAACATTGCAATATAAAATTTGTAATTAAAAAAAAATGCAATCAAACTTTTACAACTTATTGTTTCATACCTACCCTCAATAAAAAAGTAACTATATATATAAAAATAATTATAAAAATCAATTAAGTGGTAAGTTTAGGTATACTTATATGGAACTTTGTGATTTTAGTAGGTACCTGAGATCACTATTATGTGTTGGTTCAAGAAAACAGACATCGTAAAACTTACATTATTTTTGTCCGTATTTTTAGCGGTGGTTAGCATTGTCTTTTCCTGGCAGGCTGTGGTGCCTAAAGATCCAGGTAAGATTCGATTTTATTTTGGAATTATATTTTCAGCTGCTAACTGAATGTTCAAAAAATAAAATACTTATTCTTCCTCTATTAGATGAACCAGGTCATTGTTACTATGAAGAAACAGGCCCTATGAAAAAAGGAGAAGTAAAAGATATCGAAAATGCATGCACTGAGGCGTATTGTGATGTTGATGGAACCATGTTGTTAACATCGTGAGTAAAATTGTATCATTTCCAATAATTCTATTCCATATTAAAAAAAAATCAAATATTGGAAATGCCTTAATGAAGTCTATAATTGTTATTGTCCTCAGATGCGGAGTCGCAATGGTAAATGACAAGCGAGTGGAGCCAGACTTTTCCAAACCCTATCCGGAATGTTGTAACTATCCTTGGACGAAGCAAGATCACTCGGACTCGGACTCGGACACGGACCCGGACTCGGAAGAATATAAGTAATTTTATAAATATCTAAATATTCAATAAAAATTCTGAATTATAAATATTTTTTGCTTCCCTACTTGAAAATTGGTTGTCTCTGCGGCCTCACCTTATTTAAAGTTTTGGTATATGAAATTTAAATTGGTGCTACATAGTTAAATAATAAAATCAATAATAAAATTGATTGCCAATTCGATATGAAATTCAATTAAAATTTGGTTTTATTTTGGCTACATGAAACTTAACTACATAATTTCTCCATCAAACCACCATCATAATCAGGAAGGTAGGTCGGTGTGTAAGTAAAATAGGCTTGAACGCAAATTAACTTTCCTTTTTACGGGGAATAGAAAAGTGTTGAAAGCAAGCTAAATACAATAATGGAGTTTTTTTCTCAATAATAAATGTGTACACGTGTAAATCAGTTGCAACTTCAAAGAAGCTAAAAAAAAAGTCCTTTATAATTTATAGGTATAATTTTTTAACAAATAGAAATTGACTGAAACAAATCTATGACGTCAAAAATGTTCGTCGGTTCTTAAACCAGAAGTAATTTATCATTGGTCTGATGACCATAGTGTAAATAGTGGATTCGTGCCCCAGGTCTTTCCACAGATTCTGCGGCAGTTCCAGAGTAACAGTTTTGCCTTTTGGCTCACTTTTTTCAAATGAGCATTCCAGTTCATAGTCTTGTCCAGTGTGTGAAGGAACTAGCTATTGCCCCTTTTTGGGCTTTAGTCAAACCGCACCAGGGATGAAGTTTTTACTTTGACTGACTGTAAGAATTAACCATTAGGTATTGGATCTTTTAAGCCTTGTATTGGGTTAGGGGTGCCTTGATTCTCATTTATACAAATAAAACGCTGAAATAGAATAATTATCAATTCAATTAATAAATGGAAGTAGTTTGGTTTAGATCAATCAAATCCTATCTAAAAATTCCTAATTGCACGTCCAGTCGAACTACAAATTTTATACTAATCTAAAGTAAGTAAGTATCTTGATTTATAAACAGTAGGGAGATCTGATAATGATAATAATATCATGTATGATTAAATGTTAAATAAATGAAACACAAATTAACTAATTAAATGCACGAGAGCACAACATAAATAATTCGTCAACTTTAATCAGTTCAGTGTAATCACAAAATGTTTATTGATCCTTGAAAGTTCTTTGAATTATTGGGAATTAACAATTTGAGCACTTTTCTGCGGAAGTCGGTAAACAATATGTGCAAGAAAAGTCTTTATATATGCTCAGTTTCTATAAACAAATGTACAAATGTTAATTTCACAAGTGTGAAAACAAATTTCTGCATAAGCGTTACAAGACACTTCAATTTATAGTGCAATTCAAGCGAATCACTAATCAGTAGGTATTTATTGTTCGACTGTTAGAGAAATTGTAACGGCCTTACTTGCTTAATCCGGTTCATGCAGATCAATCCACAAGGCGATTATTTATCCATTTATCACTATTCACACTGACAGCCAGGGAATTTTCCGCTGAAATGAAAACACAACGATATGCACATGCAGGCGCGTTGGACCCCGGCGAGAGTGAGAGAGATATATAGAGCCAAAAACAGAAGCTTACGAGAGAATTTTGCTCGTCCGAGGTGACTTGCAATAATTAGGGGTTAATTACATGAATTGTAATCAATAATATACACCATGTCAGGCCTTGAGACAGAGAGTAGTATTTTACTGTGAATCGCGCGTACCAACGGGGGTTTTGGGGGTTTTCTTCTGGGGAGCACCAGAGGGCGCGAACCCATCGCTTATTCTAATAGTACTGAAAAATGTGCGTCGACTAGCTCTGCCAGGGAGCAGGTCGCAAAAACTAGGAAACAATGTGGCGGCTGACCAATCACAGCGGCAAGAAAGGTCCACTACCTTATAAGGTAATGAAGAAACTTGCAATTTTGTTGGTTCAAAGGGTTGTGGTTGGCGGTTATACAGGATAAATAGTCCAGCAATAGCATATATTTTTAGAATATTATTTTTATGGTAAATAATAGAGAAGAGAATTATATTAAATTAAAAATAATAAAAATTAAACCCGTTGTGGGCTATTTCCGCAACACAGTGTTTTACACTGCTTTTAAGATAAAAAATATGATTTAAAAATTTATAAATACATAAAAAGGTAAATTTGGAAAGGAAACGTTTATAAAACCGATACAAGAAATAGTCAGCTATGTATATAGTTTATAACGCAGTATTAAAAGCTTCAAGAAAACTATTTTATCTTTGATCTGTGCTTTGTTTGTCTGAAACGTTTCTACAACTTTTATAAAACATAAAATTTCTAGATGTAGTTGAGTATTCTCGGATCTGAAAGACCGGTTATTTAGTTGAAATTGTAATATGTATGTATTGATCAATTAAAATAAATTCAGTTCATATACAGTAATAATTGTTCTTATTCAGTTACAGTCGTTGGGTCATTACAACAATCAGGAAAATATTTAGACGTGTTATATATTTTTTGACCTGCGTCTCTGCACCTGGAAAACATTTTCATTTAGCCCTCATTTTGGCCATATTTGATATATAAATTACATGTGTAAAGTTATGTGTTGATTAGTTCCGCATTTGGCGAGCATACATTTTTCTTGTATATGTTTTATTTCAAATTTTTCCATTGTATCAGTTTCATTAGAGTAACAATAACCAGGAGTGCCTAAAAATATTATGGAAAGTAAGTGCTATGAAATCAATCAATAAGGTCAAAAGTTTCCTTACATATTTGTTTTCGAATAATCTTTTAATTTCCTGAAAAAAACAAAATCAAATATAGAGTAAGCTAAGAGTCTACTTTATCTTCCATGGTTTCGAATTCGCAAAGGACCATTGTGAAAAGAGCCAAACAAACAGTAATAATTTGGAGGTTCATTATTTTTGTTAACTATACTATTTTCGTTGACCAATGTGTAAGAAACATTGAACGTTGCAATATTAAATTTGCCGTTGAGAAAAATTAATCTAACTTTTACACCTCATTGTTTTAAACCCCTCAATAAAATTACGATATAAAAATCAATTACCTACTCGTGTAATTTTGTGATTGTATTGATTTTAACACCTGAATAACTTGCGTATTTTATAAATTTCATAATAATATCGACTGTAAGAAAATATACAATTTTTTCAGTACATATATAGTTTTATTCCTTTAAAAAATGTAGGAGGGAAAAAAATATCCTTTTTAGAAGATTTTTTTGGGGAAATCCTCTGTATCGTTTTCCAATGTTTCTTCTTTCAAGTTCCAGAAATATAGAATCCATAATGGTTTTGGCAATGGAAAGCGGCGAAAAGGGTTTTCTTCTTTCTAAGTTTTTGGTGGTGTCCTCTAAGGTTGCAGTTTTAATTCTTTTGAAGCATATATCTTCTAGCTTTAGATCCGTAGAGTAATAGCCATTTAGGATCTTGTATGTTTCAATAAGATCTCTTCTTTCCCCAAGTGTTGTCAACTGAAATATTTGTAGTTTTGTTTCGTGAGACAGATTTCTTGGTTCTATTAGAAATTTGGTTATTTTTCTCTGAACACTTTCTAACAGAAAGAGATCCATGTCTTTGATGTAGTAAGAAGACGAAACTGTGTGGCCATAGTGATGTATGAACAGTCTTCTTATCACTTCCATAGTTTGATTTTCGAATGCTTGTCTCATAAGGTATATTTAGTTGATTAGCCTTTTGACTGTGTGCAATATATGGGTTTCCCATTTCAGATCAATGGTGACATAAACTCCTAGGTATTTTTGTTATGAGACTTTTTTGAGTTCTGCTATTTATCTTGTAGTTTAGGGTTATTTCGTCCTATGTCTAATACTGTAAATTTTTTCTCATTTGTCCTTATCTCTACAGAGTATTCATGTCTTTAGTTAATGTAGTTATGTTAAAGAATTTCCATATAGTTTTTTTGTCATCTGCAAAGGATTTTATTTGGTTTGTATAATTTTTGAAAGATTAGAAATGTACACCATAAAAAATAGAGAGGCAAATACAAATCCTTCTGGTCTTCCGCTGATGACTAGGTACCTACCAATCAGAGCTGGTTCCATTTGTTCGAACCTGAAAAATTCTTTGTTTAACATGTTGATGGACAGTAGGAGAAAGCGGTCGGTGCCAAAAATGACACTAGTACTTTTGAGCAAATTAGTACTTGGATTGCCTTCTAAAGTAGAGCGAACGGCTTAGCATTTGAAAAAAAGTTGAAATTTTTGATCTACAGGAGTTTGAAAATTGATGCCGATAGACGTCCTGCCACATTTGTGATGAAAAAATGGCTGTGACGCCTATACACGTCTAGTTAAAAATGTTATATAAATCAGAGGCATAGCCAGAGGGAAGAGGGCGGCTCCCTACAAATCCCCAAAAAGTAAAGGTTAATATTTTTATGACATGCCCATTATTTTTTTATTCAATTTATTGGCAAATATAATAAAATATGTCGAAATAGGAAACTCCCTCTAGGGAGGAACACAAAAATTTAGCACTCCACAAAATTCCCGCCAAAATCTTACGCACCTCGACACTGTATAGTCTGTAGATTTTAATGTGATACTCCAAAGGAATATCGAGCTGGTGGCTGAATGTCTACATTAGAACACCAATGGTTACCTGACGTCACATCTGTTTTTGCCATATAAAGTACAAAGCACCCCCTCGCTCCTCCTTCGGCGCGTCAGATTAAAAACGATGGACTTTAAGTTCAACAGTCAAAATTATGACCGATTTGATTTATATGGACCGCGCAGGACGTCTAACGGCGTTCTGAGGAATATTTGGAATTTTTTTTTCTGAGTGGGGAATGATTCCATGTGTCACAAAATTATGTCCAAAAACGGCAGTATTATAATGTAATAGGTCTTAAATGTGGCAGAAACCAGGTCCCATTAGCAGTTTATATGGGAATTTGAACACCGATGGCAGTTCCTCCGTTTATAAGCGATATTATTTTAAACGCCGGACGTTTGGCACGCTAGCGAAGACGCCGATCGGCGTCACTGTCCATCAACGTGTTAAGAAAGGAGCTGCTCCATTGCAGGCACT